CAGAAAAGGTTTAGAATCAATGATCAAAATGTCTCCTACTAGATTACTTCTGTTTGGATTAATGGCAATAGTGTTGTACTCAAGTGTGTCGCTGGCACAGGATAACTCACAGCTGAGCTTGGATTACTACAAGAAATCTTGCCCGGATGCAGAGAAGATTGTGAGAGAGGAGATGGAGTGTGCAGTTCATGAGGATCCTCGCAATGCGGCTGGCATTCTTCGGCTTCATTTTCATGATTGTTTTGTCCAGGTCAGTAAATGAATTGAGTTCAGCGAAAAGGGTGTGTGCGTGTGTGTTTCTGAAGTAAAGAGGTTGTTTTTTTTTTTTTGTTTTTTTTTTTTTTTTGCGGAGGGGGTGGGGGGGAGGTGATTTTGGTTTTGAAGGATTCAAATTTGCTGTAAATTTCACTAAATCACCATGAACTACTACAAATTTTACCAAAAATATCATGAACTATTTTGATAGAGAAAAATACCACAAACTTGTGTGGATATTTTTTTAGCTTATGTAATTCATGTTCATTTTTTTAGGTAAAGTGATTCTTTAAAGAACTTGTCAACATCATTATGATACATTTCTGGTAGAATGTGGTACGTTTCTGTAAACTTGAAAGTTTGTATATTGTTTGGTTCATGACACTTTGTACAGCCTATAACTACGCGTATTGGACAGGTATAGTCATGCATTGCACAGCTCATCGCGGGTATACCTCTTGTAGTATCACCCAATGTGAATAAATCCTCTACAGATCTAATTATGCGGATAGACCCCTGAATGAATTTCTTTTTACTCTTAGAAGATCACAGAAAAAAGAGAAGTAGTATTTGCTGCCGGCGGGGAGGCCCCGCGCGAGCCAGTCGCGTGAGGAGCAGAGCAGGGGGCCAGTGGGCCCCACAAAGCTGTGGGGCCCACTGGCCCCTGCTCCGGCTCCTCACGCGAGGCCAAATAGCAACATCCCGAAAAAAAAATGGTTTATAGAGGCAGATAGACTCCCGCCCCACCCAAAAAAAAAAAAAAAAAAACCTAAGTTCTGTAGGAGATCAGCAGACGTATTGGACTGCTATATAATCATTCATTTTAGCATAGAAAGGAATATAAATAGCTAGTTCAAAGCATACATGCGGCTAATTTCCCCAATTCAATGTAGACAAACGATTTCTTCAAAAAGTAAGATTTTTATTTTATTTATTATTATATATTATTATTTGTTGCAAAATTTTATTTTTCTTAATGAATGATGTTAAAATTTGCAGGGATGTGATGGCTCAGTGTTACTTGATGACACCGTAACGCTGAAAGGCGAAAAAAAAGCATCAGAGAGCTTGAACTCTTTGATCGGGTTCGAGCTTGTGGACCGCATAAAGAACCAACTCGAGTCTCGGTGCCCTGGAACCGTGTCTTGTGCTGATCTCCTCGCTATAGCAGCTAGAGACGCAGTTGTCCTGGTATGATTACAACACGCACAAAGTCACAATATGTACAGTTTCAAATCATATTGTCATAAGAAGGAATTCCGACTAGTGCACCTAATATTTTCACAGTACAGGGGCATCAAATCATATTATAAAAAGAAACTCGATAGAAATATGACTTATCTACCTCAAAACAAAGTATGATAATTAAAAAAGTTGAACTCATTTGTTCGTCGAACTAGCTCGTACTTTGGGATGTTAAACTGGAACAGTATGTAGTGACCAGTATCATATGTTGTGCAGGTTGGAGGACCCTATTGGGATGTTCCAGTTGGAAGAAAAGACTCAAAAAAGGCAAGCTTGGAATTAGCAAATGCAGATATACCAACTTCTGATGAAGGCCTCGTTGCTCTCATCACCAAGTTTTCCGAGAAAGGCCTCTCAGTCACAGATATGGTGGCCCTCGCTGGTTTGCAAATTCTGACAACCTTATATATGTTAAAACAAAAGAACTAAGTTAGCTTTTCCTCTCACCTATACATGATGTTAATATTTTCTTGATAATATCATGACCCAAGCGAACATTATCCTCAATCACAGGTGCACACACCATTGGCATGGCTCGGTGCACGAATTTCAAAGCAAGAATTTACAGTGGTGATTTCCAGCAAACATCACATTACAATCCAGCGTCAGCATTATACCTGACTAAGTTGGTATCAACCTGTCCTCTCTCCGGAGGCGACGATAACATAACTCCAATGGACTATATTACGCCTACTCTCTTCGATAATGCGTTCTATGAGTCACTAATTAGAGGAGATGGCCTTTTGAACTCAGACCAAGAGATGTACTCGACTTTCATAGGGTTCGAGTCGACTGATCTTGTGAAAAAATACGCAATTGATCCTATTGCTTTCTTTAAGCAGTTCTCGGATTCAATGGTGAAGTTGGGGAATATCACAAACCCTGAGGGAGGGGAAGTGAGGACTAGCTGCAGATTTGTGAATGCGTGAGAGTACTTTTTTTTTTTGGTTGTGGTAAGAGATGTTTAAGTAAAGGGTTTGTTGGTTACCGTTGTTGTTATATCTTGGGAGAGAAGTTGTTGTTTTGTTTACATGCATACAATGAAATGAATTATATATATTATCCATATCCTGTCTTTGGACATTTAAATTTCAAACCCCATTTGTGAGGAAATCCTGATATACAAACAAATCTATGGTTGCCTCCTAAAAGATTGTACCATTTGTGAGGATTTCTTGATACACAAAACAAATCTATGGATGCCTCCTAAAGGATTGTGTGTACTGTCAGAGTGCTTTCTTTTTGTGGGACAAAAAAGTGGTCCTGTTTGGCAAAGGGTTAAGTGAAAGGTTAGGCAAAGTTAATCCATCGATCTCCTTAGTCTGCCAAACGCAAAATGTTTACACAATGCATAAATTGAGTTAACCCATTATAATTTGCTAAACACAAAAAATAGTAGAAAGGCTTACAGATCCATCTAGATGGGTTAAAAAGAGTTAACCCCACAAAACGAAGGGTTTACGAGTCCACATATTTAGAAAGATTAAGAGATGCTCTTTTATTTATAAAGAAAATGGTCATAATCATTTTTATTTCTCCACACAAACAATGACCACAAGGATTGAAATAAAGTAACCTAACGGATTAGGATTTTTAACCCTCTAGATCAACAAATAGGCTAACTATTTTAACTCTTCTGTTTAACCCTTCCTCCTTGACCCTTCGCCGAAAGGTTAAGGCTTATATATTCAGCTGAAAAAGGAGTGCAAATACAGATAAATTTTAGGTCTAGCCCTACCTTATCCCGCATAAAGTTATGCTAAAGGAGTAATTAGAAAAGAAACCCTAATCTTTTCATCTCGTGGATGTACATGTTAGCATTCAGATGTTTTTAATAGAAAATAGCGTAAAATAAAAATATTGCAGCCTCGATGTGTGTTTCCTTGTTATGGATATTTGATAGAGCCAAAAAATGTACAGAGTACAAACCCATATGTTGAATATCCCGCCAGAAGAGATAAGGAGTTAATCTTCCCATATGTTAGGTACAACTACTTTGGAAATGATCTACATTTGATTATAAAAAAAAATAATAGAACCCTTCATAGTGTTGATATTTAGGCAAACAAACAGCCCCTAAGAGACTTTCATTATTGTTGTGTCTTCAGTATAAAAATCTTTATGCTTCTAATGGATCATAATATATATTTCTCACCGTCTTTCATATCTCATATGTTACCTTATGTTTTTGAGATATTTTGCAATTATACCCTTCATAGTGTTGATATTTTGTGTGTTACATCTTATATGTTAATCTTATGTTTTTGAGATATTTTGCAATTGTATCCTTCATAGTGTCGAAAATTTAGCTAACATGTACATAAATGACATGCAAGGCTGGTTTCATATTCTAGCAAACACAAACCCAGATCTCCAATCTTCACTATCTGCAGTGGTCTAATACACCATCTCAATTGGTCTATTACTTTGTCAGCTATTAACACATTATTCTCAAATGTAAAGTATAACATAAACAAGTAGCTAAATGAAATGATCGGTATCAATGAACCCCAAGAAATAATCACAACTTAGTTATACATTATGCTATATTTTCACAAGAGTTCATGACCATTATACAATACCACTCCCTTCACTAAATAAACACACCCAAAAACACACTCTCCCAATTTTCCTGTACAAATTATTCCGTTTACTCTCATAATCATCTTGGTCCAGAGAGCTCCATTGCTTGAACCAACATCAGAGAATCATCAGTAAGATCAGAGTAACGCTCTGAAGATGAGAACTCGGGCACCTTGAACTTTGGAGGTGGCTCGAGTCCTTGAGAAGCCTCCCATTTCTCTGCGAGACCATCTCCTTCAAGCATTCTCACCACTTCTGACATTTTTGGCCGGTGGCCTGGGAGGTACTGTGTACATAAGAGAGCTACTTGCACCATCTCTTCCAGCTCTACACGATCATATCCATTCCTTAGATCCTTGTCCATGAGCATGTCTAGCTTCTTCTCTTGGTGGATCTTTTTCACCTGGAAAAATAAAAACTGTGAAACTGTACAACAAAAAACTTCTCAAATTTGTAAGATCAGAAAGAGTATTGGATCTAGGTTTGGGACTAATATCTATTGTTAGACTTAGAATAAGGGCTAAGGCCCAATTTATCCCTAAAAAACTAACAATAAGCTTTTGAGTCAGATTGGTTCTCAGATCTCACAGAGCTGCCCGATTTTCTTAACAAGTGGTATTACAGCTCACTATCAGCCGCCAAATATTGAAAGACACAACAAATGTTGGTAGTCTTATTGCTGTGTTCAGGGTTGCAAGTTTAGATGAAACTGCAAGTCAAAGTTAACCTACGTATGGATGATGTATGATACCCAAGAGAGCATGTTGTAGGTTTCATGGTTTGTTGTGGATCATTGAGCTAGACATAAATGAAGGGGAAGATTGTTGGGAAGTCATTTGTAAATATAGTCTCACATCAAACATACTTTAACAATAATGAGAACTCGAATAGAAAGTGAGAACTAATACCTTTATAGTTTAGATTTTTCGTTTATATGATGATGCATATGATATATTTTTATCCACTTTGCAGGTCACTATTGGATAGTTTTAAGACTTGGATTCGATGCGGGTCTGGACCTCAATGATTCGTATCTAACAAGGAACGATCCTCAAGGAAGATGATGTGGTTTGTTGCAGAGCAAGGGTCAAAATAAATTTACAATGTAGCAAAATAAGAATGAAAGACTTCTGGTTGGTGCTTACCCACTCAATCATGGCTCCTTTCTGATTAGCCGCCTTCCCAAACTCTAAAGCAGTCTGCCCAGTAATTAATTCAAGAAGAAGAATCCCAAATCCAAAAACATCAGTTTTCTCCGAAGATTGGCCTGTGGAGAGATACTCTGGAGCTATATGACCAACAGTGCCTCTAACGGCTGTAGTCACATGAGAATCCCTATGATCCAAAAGCTTTGCAAGTCCAAAATCACCTACTATTGCCTCACAATAATCATCGAGAAGTATGTTTGCAGCTTTTACATCTCTATGTATTATCTTAGGATCGCATTGCTCGTGAAGATAGAGGAGGCCTCTCGCAGCTCCAAGTGCTATTCTCTTTCTAGTACTCCAGTCTAATGACGGCTTTCCTGTATTTGCAATTTGAAGTACAAAGTGTGAATTAATCTTCTCATTAGGAAATGATGGCTGCGGTTATTACTGATAAAACCAAATAACAAAATTGTTTCGGGAGAATAATTTTTACTTGAGTGCCATAATTGCAAAAGCAGATAAAAATAGTTTTACATGTCATATGGAAGCTATCCTATAGTAATAACTTGTGACTACTTTATGCTCACAGCAAGCTTTACATAGTTTCTGCTAAATATCTCTATGAGGTTGCCATTAATAGAGATAAATTTTTATACACAATCATATTTGATTTCTTTCATATGCTAAAAATTGACTGCACGTACTATCTCTATTTGAATGTGGGATCTTTATAATATATGCAAAAAAGTAAAAAAACAATATAGAAGTTAGACTTTATTAACCATATAAGCTTAATAATACAATGATTTAATTATCTTGTACTTTAGCGGCTCATTAACCAAGTCCAAGAATGTGACTTCGAGAAAAAAAACATTCTCAAACAAAGAACGTAGTAGTACCTTTCAGTCGAGAAGCAACACTTCCATTGGACATGTAAGGATACACTAAAAGCCTCTCTGTGGCAGTCATACAAAATCCATAAAGTCTGAGTAAATTCCTATGAACTGCCAAGCTTATCATCTCGACCTCGGTTTGAAATTGGGTCTCACCACCAGCAGCATTTCCATCCTTAAGCCTTTTCACAGCAACCAGAGTTCCATCGGGAAGATGACCTTTATATACATTTCCAAATCCACCCTTTCCTAAAATGTTCTTGTTACTGAAGTTATTTGTAGCATTTTGAAGCTCCCTGAAGCTGAACCTCTTCAAGTTTCCAAGGCAAACTTCCTCGTTGTGTTGATCTGAAATTTTGAAGTAATAGTAGTTCAAGTTTTGTAATAGTAGGAGCAAATTTCGATTTTGGTTATAACTAGAAGTTTAATTTTATACTAACCGTTGACATCAAGGAAGATTTGTTGGTTATGCTGATGTCTCCACCAGAAGAACAAACCCAGTCCGAGGACTAGTAAGCAAATGCAGCTAAGGGTGGAAGCCAATGCAATGGCAAACTTGTGGCCTTTGGGCTTTGTTTGGGGTAGACCACCTTAAGAAAATGTTCAATAACTCAGATATCAGTTAACCTTAAGAAAATGTTTGAGCAACTTAATGATGAACGGATGATATTTTCAAGTATTTAGGTCCGAGCAATTTAATAAAAACTTGGTAAAAGTACGTCAGTTAGAAAACATGTATGTGATTAGAAGAATTAATATGTTTAAAATAATAATAATGAGATGCCAAGATAATATCAGAGGGCAAACAAAATTTTCCAAATTAAAATGCTGAATTGAGATGAAAAAAATTAATTGCCCAAGAAAATGTAATTGATTGATAAAATAAATTTGATGGATATAGTCAACATAATGTAGATATAGGACTAAAAAATAGATAGCCGGTCCTTTCTCTGGTGGTACTACATAGAAAGTCAATCATCTCAATTACTAAATGAATCATGACAGTTTTTTTTTTTATGATGACAATCTTTTCAAAATGTTTTCCTTGTTAGCGGTGCCTAGTCTCCACCGTTTTGAACCATAATAAGTATTACTAGAGATCTTGTAGAACAAAAGTATTACTTTGTGAGTTATTAACATTGAAGGACATAGGCATTTGCATTGTGCCGGAGCATTCCTGTTCCAAACCAGTTGCACAAATCAAGGGATTGCCCACAATGCTGCATGAAATTAGAAGAACTTGTTCAGAATAATTACCTTTCTAATGCTTTCGAAAATCAAAACATAAGAGAATAATATACAATCAAAGTAGTAATAATTTCTGAATAATAAAGAAGAAATCATTTGATATGTCACGCCCCAGGCCTGCAAGCCTGTTGGTGCATGAAAGACGTGGGACCCAACCGAGTGTAACACGTTATTTGGCTCAAACCACTGCTAAAATCAATTAGATGATGTTACACTTGAGTTTTAGACTTACCTATTTAAACCACTAAAAATTTCACTCAAAGCGATGTTCTCATCGCAACATGACAATTGGCACATTCCAGTATCACCAAGCGATGTGGATTCTAGACGTGACTCCTGCAAGCTCTAGAGGTGGCTTACATTGCGCTCTCGCGGTGTAGCACTTAGCCCCGCGTAGCACTTAGTTCTATACTTCCGACTGGTAGCTACTCTGATACCATTTGTCACGACCCGGGCCTGTGGGCCCGTTGGTTCGTACAAGCCGTAGGAACCACCGAGTGCACGTTGTTTAGCTTAAACCACTGCCAAAATCGACTAGCCAATGTTACACTTGAGTCTCAGACTTACCTATTTAAGCCACTAAAATTTTCACTCATTTCCCGATGTGGGACTATCACACTTGGGGCATCACATGATATGTACCTGAAATCAGAATCAATAGGCTGGCCCATAGTTTGCGAAATAATTCATGAAGTTTTAATCAGATAAATCTCATCCTTAAAATTCTCAAAACATCTATTGTTGAGATATCTTTAGATTCTGGAATACTTCTTCATTTTCATAAGTTGACCAATATATACTTGATTTATTTACTTCTAAACCATAGATATAACTTCTTGTTGAAACCCTCCACGTATGTATCTATTTATGTTGATTTATTTCTCCCGAATTTGGATCCTCTCCACTACAAAAAAGTAGTGGAGGGACCATTATGTAAAATTATGCCTCGCGACTCCATTATTCCATTTTCTATTCAATTTTAAATTGACCCTTGGATACAAAATCATGAAAATATATATTCTTCCTTGAATATACTATTTAGGGAAAAAGGATTAAACCCTTTTTAAGAAATAAAGTTTTTTTATCGTAATATGAAAAAACCGAAAGACCCCTTAACTATTTAAGTTATTAATTGAACGAATCACATTTTTACCAGTAAACCATACTCTCTATATTATCACGACCGTTGATTATCTAGTGGATGATTATGATTTTTCATTGAGTGCAAAATAGGAATGAGTGCGATACAAGGGAGTACGGTGCGTGTCAGATTTAAAATAAATCACAACCACCTTCTATATAATCAATGATTCTGATCAAAAGGAGTGGTCCATCCACAGCTTTTTGTAGTGGTGAGGATCCAAATCCTTTCTCCCCCAGTCTAAATAGGAAAATATATTGTTTCTTTCCTAAATTCAAAACTTTTGCCAGCTAAGCAACCGTTCAACAAACCAAAATTGACTTATAAATGCAATTTACATACTATTAATTTCATTTTTTAGTCTCACTCCTTACTAAATAATATTGATATCCTTAAAAGGAATAAAACAATCCTTCACTTCTTTATATGTTAGTGGACAAACCTGTAACCATGACTATTTAAATAGAACATAATCACAAGATCAACTGTGTTGAATACTATTTGCCAACAAAATCTAGTTCTTCAAATACCATGCAATTCTGAAAACTCCACAAACTGCCATAAATGAACAGAACTCAAAGGTCAAAGATCTTGGAAGCCTTACTTGAATGTCCTAGCTGGAAACCTGGGTACAGGACCACTCAAATTATTATAAGACAAATCCCTGAAGCATTTAAAAAAAAGTACAAAATCTTTAGCTTCACATTTGATTACACAAAAGAACTGTAGTCAATTTGTACATGAAAAATACACATATATTGAAACTCACAAAAATGCTAATGGTGTTATATTAGCCAGAGACAATGGAAATGCCCCAGATAGGCTATTATTGTTAAGTCTCCTGTTACAGTCCACATGAAAATATTAGAAAATTAAAAAAATAAAAAATAAAAGTTGACTAAGCTCAGACTATGCTTACAAGTATTCAAGGCTTTTTAAATTGCCAATAGAGGAGGGGATTTCACCACTGAGGAAATTGTTGGAGAGATCAAGAGTTTTTAACTCTGCAAGTTTCCCAATCTCATGTGGTATTGGCCCTGATATCATATTATTCTGCAGTAGCCTACAAAAAAAACCATTATTTAGCCAATAGAAGAATCTATGCTAAGGATAAAAGAAGGAAAAATCTTTTACTATTAAGAGCTTACACATTCTGAAGTTTTGTCAAGTTCCCAATACTTGGAGATAAGGTACCTGACAGATTTTGGCTTGGAGTTGCTCTGCATCAAAACAATTAAAAACAAAACAGAAAACTTTAATATTCTATTCATTTAATCAAAATCTATCACCATGATTGAAATGAGACTTACAGCTCAGTAACAAAATTCTCCGGAGAGCAAGTAATCATAACCCAACTGCAAGGATCAACAGAGTCATGATCCCAGTTATCAAGAACATTACGGGGGTCCTTGAGAGAGTTCTTGATGCCCATCAAGGCTACAACTGAGCCAATTACAAAAGGAAAAACCCACATCAGCATATCATTGAAAGGAGCTAAAAATAATAATAGAAATAAAAGAAAAATGTGAGAGAATTACCTTCATTATTGACACCTTTGGGAGAGAGAAGAGGAGAAGATGAAGATAACGAACACAATAAAACCAAGGTAAAAAGCCCAGCTCGCCAAATGTTTGTTCTCATTGAGCCAAGAGAGTCCAAAACACAGGCGCCCATAAAAATGAAAGGCACAAGAGATTCAGTTCATTGATGGGTTTTAACTCTTCTCTTCTCTCTCTCTCTCTCTCTCTCTCTCTCTCTCTGTGTGTGTGTCACTCACTCCTCTGAGTTCTTTTTGATGTCAGAGGAAGTGGCCCATGCTGTAGTGTTAGCATGTAAAGAAGAAAAAGGGAGGGAGAGAGAACCAACATGCCTGCCACCTAACCTTGTAAAAAAGAAGAAATGGGTATTAAACAATTGGCAAAAGTATTATGCTTTTTGAAGGTGAGAATAAAGCTAATGATTCTTGACAAACCCCTTATTAAAGTTTGAGTTTTTTAATTAAAAACCCCTTTAAACTTCATAAATTAGAAAAAATAAACTTATAAAACTTGTTTGCCTAAAATATCGCAAATTAGCAATATGCATTTTCAGTTTGTCATACACTTTACAAGCGACATATTTTGAATAATTTTGCTCCTACTTACTCTCCTTTTCGTTGCAAGCAGATACATGGTAATAAGAAAATATTAGAAATTTATGGTTTATAAAGATTTAAATAATTTACGATGTTTCGTAGAATTTTGTAAGTTTATCAGTAGTTTTTTTTTAGCTTATAAAGCTTAGAAAAGTGTAATGCAAAATACCCGAAAACTAAGGAGGGTTTTGTGAAATTTTCAAAATAAAAAAAATTAGGAGAGGGATTTTCTTGTGGTGGGGTAGTTCTAACACTTGCTTGGGAAGTGTGTCACTGTATGGAGAATTTCTGTGACAGATTAAACAAATTGGTGAAAAGATACTGATTGGGAGGAGTGGAGAATTGTCCCTCATCCCTGAGGTGTGATGTGAGGGAAAAGAATAAAAGCAATCTAGAATTTTTAAAGGATGACTATTATTATTAATTTTAGTCCAGCATTCAAAAAGAGTGACAAAACAGTTGTCACTAGATTAGAGGAGTGTTTAGAGAAAGTTTTGGAGGGGATTATGATTATGCCCCAAAATGCAATAATGTCGGTTGAATGGGCCTTCAGAGAAGGGCCCAAGTGTTTTTGGTGTGACTGGCCTTTTTGGTACATTGCTTCTCGTCAACCACCACCGCATGATCTATGCACTCTGCTCTGCCTAAATCTTGGATCCTAGGGGGACCATAAGGGGCTGTTTGGTTGTTGTTGGTAAAGTTGTGTATTTATGATACAACTTGGAAAGTTGTTGTCCACCTCATCATTTTCACTTTTACACTTTTCTTTGTTTGTTTTTTATTCCATTGGAATCATAAAACACTTGTTTGGTTTGCAAAATAAAACTTTAATTGTTTGTTTGGAAAGTGTAAAAAGTGGTCCCTACTCAAGTGATCATAATGGTTGAAATTACTTTTTCCTGATTTCAATGTCAGCTTTCTCCTAAAATCATGTTTTTTTTTTATGAAATCACTTTACAAGCCACATCAACATATGAAACCACTTTACACTATTTTCACAATTACAAACAAACAATTGAAAAGTGATGAAAACTGACATTGGGGCCCACTTTTTTACACTTTCCGTCATTTTACATGGTAAAAACATACAACCAAACGGGCCCTAATTTGTTCAACCAAATATAGTTTGAGAGGCTTGCTTGGATGATAAAAATACATGACAAAATCAACTTTGCACAAAAAAAATTCTTAGTTTTCAAAATTTATGCTTTTTTTTTTGGAGGAAAAGTTGGTTGGAAAGTTGAATGTGAGACTCAATTCTCTTTTTTTCCCCCTCCACAAATCGCTAGGGGTTAAGAGGATATTTGACATGAGATTGTGCCAACATGAGAACAAATTTTAAAATTGAGACCCTTGTTTCTCGCTGAATCTCAATAACTTTACAGAAATAAACACCATTTTTGTATTACAAGCAACATATTAACCTGGGTGACTCTATCCACTAAATCGTAACTCCGAAATTGTAGTGAAAGTTGAGGATCATATTTTTATATATCTCGCACTTTTAGCTCTCTACATTATATAAAGTTAATAAGATATATTGTATTTTACTTTTCTTGTGGAAAAAAAAAATCTTGAAAAAATATGTAGGAAAGCGCTCAATCTTTCTTTATTTTCTTAGCAGTTCATCTTGTGAGGAGAGGATCAATATCAATTTAACAACTAATGCACAAGCCTTTCTGCGTATACATTTCTACTTCTACGCAAGAACTGCTACAATATAATTTAATGATAATGGTGTACGGATAAAATGATGCAACCCCCCATTAGGATAGCGCCTTGCATCAATTTGGGACCCTCCAATTATTCCAAAAAACAATATTTGCCATATTTATGCAAGTAAGTTATCAAGTTGGTGTTGGGGTAATGTGTCCAAAATCATAAATATATTTTTTCAAAGGCATGCATGCCCCAACTGAAAACGGATCAACGCATGCCTGCCTCTATCAAAAGCTCATTACCCAAATAAACAAAATTGTAACTTGAGCATCGTCATAAGCAAGGATTAAGGCATGGTTACCCACTAATGAAATTGCTAAAATAACCACATGCAACTTTAGGTACCAAGTGGCGAATTTTTTATGTTCCCTAGAATCTAGCTAGGCTTCAAGGGTGAGAATTTGAAAGAAAGCAAACGGACGGAGAAGAAAAGCAAGCGCGAAAACAAAGAGAATACGAAAAGGAGAGGTGGGGATGGGTGTGTGATTATACTAATAGAAACCAACATTCTCTCGGTTTGGTTCTTCATTAAAATCCTAAAGTTTAGAGATTTGCTTGGGCCTTGAGATTTGTGTGCCCATAGCTTTGTTCAGTCCTTACCATAATACAATATTCTGAAATTATAGAATTATAAAAGTTTATTTCACCACAATTTTAAAGTTTTTTTTAGTAGGTTGCTTCAACTCCAGGGACTTGTTTGGTAAATCCAGCTAAACTGGTTTAGTGAAGCAAAAACAATTTCACTTCTAGACTAGTTTGACAAATAACTATAGAATTGCTCAAATTGATTTTATTAGGTCAAAATTTCTATTTTAAGCTTATTAAGTATTGGTTCATTGTGTTGTCGCCAAAGGCTAAATTTGGAATAAAATAGATATAAAACAACGAAAGCTGAAGTGCTGTATTTAAAAAAAATTCAAGTTAGCTGATGTGCGTTTGTGAAACGTTGTGCTTAAAACAATATTTGGCATACTCCGGTGCAAGGATCCTAATGCCAAACTGCTTCCAGGAACAGCAATATAGTACAATGGTGTGCACCAACCAAGTACTATCAAGATCTCCTCGATCTATAAGATTTTTCGGTCAAGGCAACGATGTCAATATCTCCTCGATCTATAAGACCTTTTGGTCAAGTCAACGATCTCCTCGATCTGTTAAAACCTTTCGATTAAAACCTTTCGTTTCAGGGCTATGTTCATTCGGGCACATGCTAAATCTTTTACGCTTTTAAACTCTGCAGCAATAGCTCAACAGATTCAAACACTTCAAGTTTTTCAACGCTTCAGTGTGTTCGCATACCCCAAGAGCTGCCCCAAAGGGGCACTATTTATAAGCCTCTAAGACCAGCTCAAGGGTCATCCACAATCAATATGACTGTTACAAATCATAATGACAATTATGATTGTAACAGCAAATGACTTAATTGTTGTAATTACTGCATGCAGTAAAGCCTGAACGCGAGGCCAGCGAGGGTCACGTTTCTACGCAACGCGAGGGTTGTGTCGCGCCTTGCGAACACAAGGCTCGCGAACGCAAGGCTCGCACCCTCACGCGAACGTGAGAGTCGTGAACGCGAGGCTCACACCCTCGCGCGAACGCGAGGGTCGCGTCGCGCCTCATGAACGTGAGGCTCGCCCGCATGCTTCGAAACAGCTACAGTGGCAGCCAACGTAGCGCTACATAGCCCCGATACCTCCATATGAAGTGCGGAGTGTGCCATACAAAACGCCACTTAGCACATCAGTCCATTAACCTCGATCCTCGGCCCATTGGCCCACAGTCCATGGTCCACAAGCCCACTAATACTTATGATGGATTAATTAATTTATTTAAGACAAAACAATTATCGGCTTGCCACGACAAGCCTCGAACTGAGGACCTTTTGAAACATCAAAACTTTTATTTTCCACTATACTACTAAAGAGTTCTGAAAAATACCAGTAGTTAGTAAATATATAGTTTGAAAATTATTTTGGAAAACGGTTTTGACCAATAAATCCAACACATTCTACTCTAAATTAGAATTAAACCGGAACCAAACCGGAATCGAACTGCACTAGTTTATCTCCATTTTGCCGAACTGACTCAATATTTTAAATGCTCCGAATGAATTAAGAAAATCATAATTGCTATTGAAAGTATAGTGAAAGGAATTATGTGTTACAAAATCTTAAAGTTACGATCATATTATAATACTTTTCACGAATATAACATTATAGTTACATCATGACCAATTTTCTATAGATAGGAAATATGTTATGTCACGTAGCTCGAAGCCTTCACAAGTCTTTGAGATTGCTTTACTTGCTTTATTGATTCACTCAACAAAACCCCTCACGTCACACGACTCGCATTTTGCTTGGCCCCTGCTCACACTCTCTGCGCCTGACTGCAGCAGCACCCTGTCAATTCCACAGTGAACAAAAAATCTGGGCCACATAAAACAGGGAAGATGGAAAAAAGCAAAGTAATGAAGCATTCAAAAGCAAAAGCTGCCATTTATCTCTGGTCTATTCCCCTCCCCCCGCGGGGTGGTACGTGTTGGATTTTTTTTTTTTTTGAAAAACGCTTTTCAAAATGAGTTTTCAAAAAATATATATATTAACTATAAATTTTTTTTATAAAAACTTAGAAAGTTAAAATTTTGGTGTTTCAAAAAGTTCTCTATTCGAGGCTTGCCAACGGCAAGCCGAGAAGTGTTTTATTTTAATTAATCCCTCATAAGTTCCAGTGGGTCATGGGCCGTGGGTTGTGGGCTCGTGAGCCAATGAGCCGGGAATCGAGGCTAATCGGACTAAGACGCTAAGTGGTGAAGAAACCGCAAAGAATTTCAAAGAAGAACAAGTGTTGGGATCCGCAAGAGTCACTTTGGAAGCTGCGCGGTCGACCACGAACGTGCACAGACTCTAGGAGGAGTCTGGATTTGGTGCGGTCGACCGC